ATTGAGACCAGGTGAGTACATGATAGTAAGTGTACGTTATGTTAAGGAATTAAGACTTGCGATGAGCCCAATTCCGATATTATATGATATAAGTATTAAAGCATAAACATATAGTGATATTGTGTTAGATGTATGGTATATGAGTAAATGCATATGTTTAATTGTTGAATGCATTTTTATGTGCCTGTATTATGATAATAGGTCATGTGATCATGAAATATATGATAAAATATATATGAAAATAATATGACTCATATGTGCTTCTATTAGAATGCTATATATGATATGTTAGTATAATAAGATAGATTAGATATTGATAATAAGACATAAGATTATATGCATATGTAATATATGTTAAAAGATAAGAAATAATATGTTATATGCATATGAGAAAAAGGTATATGTGATGTGACCATGTGTGAAAAGGATGAATAATGTGAATTTCATGGAAAATGCTACGTGAAAGTAAACTACGTGACTATGTGATCATATGAAATATGATAAAGAGCTATGTGAAAGGACTATGTGATATGAATATGTGAATGTGTAATGAGGAAAAAGATAATGCCCATGTCATGTGTTATGAGAGCTATAGGTATAGTTGGCATGCCAAGAGTCGAGGGTCTACGCGGTCCTTCAGGACATAGTGGTCCTTCGGGATATATGTGTTATATGTGGTCCTTCGAGACATCTACGTGGTCCTTCGGGACAAATTCTACGTGCCCCTAGTGGGATTTATACGAGCTGTGGTGACAACATAGTGCACAACCTCTATATACTCACGTACCTTAAGTTCTCAATAGTGTGCATGGGCTTTGAAAAGAAAATATAATTTGATATAATGATATATGTGTTTCTCTGGAAATGGTATATGTGACATGTATAAGTGATAAGTTAGAATCATATGATAATAATGGTAACAAGTGCATATGGGTAATGGTTATATGAAATGCTATGTGGTTATGTATGATATGATAATAGTAATTAATTATTCATTTATTGTGGTGTTTTGTAGTAATATTATATGATTGGTTCTATAAGTATGTAATTATGATATGTATTATATGACAATTGCATGTATTTGTTAGGACACATTGTGCCTTTACATGTCTCACTAAGTCTATGACTTAGCGTGTAAGTGTTTTACACGTAGGTGTGAAAAGTCAGAAGATCAAGCTTCGGATTCGTAAAACACTATACCTCTACGCAACGTTCAGATCAGAAATATTTTGTAAATTATGTCTTGTCATATAATTTAGTATGTTGGCATGTAACGAAGTAATTATATATGTACACTCTGATGGAGTTTGTTGAGGTTTTAAATATGTTTATGTAAAAGAATTACTTTATAGAAAAGAAAAAGTTTAAAATTTTCTATGGTTTTTTATAAAAGTATATACTTTGACTGGTCAATGTGACACCTCATACTCGTATCCGAGTCGGGTACGGGTTGGGGGTGTTACAGGAATAGTACTGGTCGGTAAATGATACGAAATCCATATATGATCCATCATACCAGGCACAAGAGAGGGTTTACCAATATGTCGACATAGTATGGAATGTGGATCCTGAACGATGGGAGGTGGATCCTGAATGATGGGAAGGGCCTCTTGAACGATGAGACGGGTCTCTTGAACTATGAGAGGTGAATCCTGAACAATGTGAGGTGGATCCTGAACAATGGTAAGTGGATCAGACTTCTTCTTACGCAGTCTTGGAACTATTGGGGTGAAAGGAGACTTAATGGCATGTTCACAACATCAGATGCGTGAACCCCGTCGTGCAAGAAAACCCGACGTAAAGCACCTACCTCACCGGGCAGCTAAAAATAAATTAATACATAAATCAGTAAATAAATAAATAATGTCAAAAAAAGGTTATTTGCATTTTTAGTATAATATTTCTTATAAAATTAAAGAAACTTACCTTCTTGCATAGAGTATGAACCTCATTCTGCAACGATGAAATAATCTCACGTAGAGCACCGACCTCATCACATAAAGCAGCTATCTCACAACATAAAGCACCATTGTCATCACGTAAAACAACTACCTCACCACGTAAAGACCCTACCTCATCACGCCATGCATCATTTTCATCACGTAAATCACCAACCTCATCACGTAAAGCACTAACCTCATCACGTAAAACACCTAACTCATCTCGTGGAGGTGGAGAACGGGGAGATAAATATCATGACATCTTTACCGGTCGCCTATAATGTGGTGATGGTGGAGAATAAGCTCGATGATGTGATGGAATAGGTGATGGATCTCGGTGTCGAGGTGTAGAGTTGGCTAGAGGTGATGGCTCTCGGTGTCGAGGTGTAGAATCGGCTCGATCAGGTGATGGATCTCGGTGTCGAAGTGGAGAATTGACTCGATGAGGTGATGGATCTCAGTGTCGAACTGAAGAATCAACTCGATGAAAAAGTGGGGGTGCTCATCATCCGTCCTAAAAAAAAATACCTACTAGCTTACTACCAATCAGTGGCAAGCTCAGCCTCTGTGGGTGTCAATGTCTGTATTGGATAGTTTGCCTCCTAACAATATAAAAGCCCAAACAAAGTCAAATGTCTACTAGTAATAACTTGTTTATATATAGTAGTATTTGTGTTAACTTACATCATTGATCGTCATATATGGTAGTAAATCTTCCCAATCCAACAACTGGATCCTCTTCTAAGTAATAGCCCTAGGAATATCATTTGAATTCTTGATGGCATAAGTATGCATGCTGGGAAATGCCTCAAATATCCAAATCTACAATATAATACACAAACATTAATTTTAGTAATTGTTAAATAATTAATTTTAGAAACATTATATAGAAATTCTTACCTTAAAGGCCCAAATAAAGCCTACCAAAGTGTATTTGGAACCATGCCCATGCAAACTACGATGGTCCTCAAAGGCATACGATAATTTTTTCCAAGCAGCTTTCCATAGATATGAACCCCACGGAAACACGTTCAATGAATCTAGGTCATCTACCAATAATATTAAATCCTGAGAAATAGGCTGTCTGCCCTCTTTGGCTAAAAAGTCGGCATACAAAAGTAACAAAAGGGATACTCGGACAACATCAAGGTCATCCATCCGAGTAAAACCATCTTTAAGAAGTAATATTTTCAAAATAATCGACGTGTAAAGTGGCCTTCACCTTTGTTAGCTCAAGAAAAACCTGAAATAACCATGATGGGCGGGCGATATGACTAATGTATAGACCTAATTCATCGTGTCATCCGAAACGTAGACCAGTGACCAAGCAAAACTCCTCCCGCCCAAAACGAGTATACGCCGGTGGAAAATGAAACCATATCTCCTCATCGCCACGTTGTATCCCCTCGGGTAGATCATTAGTCATGGTCTGTAGAAACAAATGAGTCAACAAAACATCTCCACCTGGATGTTGTACTTTCAGCCATGGTCCGAAACAAGTATTCTCAAACAAATTTCTTTGGACATGTGTAAGTGTCGACGCAATTGTAGTGGCTAGGCTTAATTTATTCATTAAAGTCAATGCAGCCGAAAAAATTCCTAACAAAAACAATAAACATACCAAGTTAGATATACTAATAATATACCAAAAACTACAAATTATACACAATAAACAGACATGATATTAAACAATGAAAATATAGCCAAATATGTTTCAAACTAGCCCGGTATTCACCCAAGTCATTATTCTATCATAGTTCACAAAATGCATCAAATAACATTCCAGAAGTAAGCACTTCTATAAACATTTAAAAGGACAACATATAAGTTTAGTGCAGGTTCAAGGACAACATTCTAGAAGAGTAGTAGTTTATTCTTGAAACTTAAATTCGCAACACTGTGAAGTTAGTACTTGTCTTTGTTTTTTGGTTAAAGTAATGCAATTCATTCAAGTTTCAATTTGTAGAAGAAGAGTTATTCTTGAAACTTAAATTCGCAACATGAAAATCGCAACACGAAAATGAAATTCGTAACACGAAATTCGCAATGCGAAAACTAAAATCGCGTTGCGAATTTCATTTTCGCGTTGCGAATTTAAGTTTCAAAAACTACTCTTCTTCTACAAATTGAAACTTGAATGAATTGCATTACTTCAACCAAAAGACAAATACTAACTTCACAGGGTTAAAGACTAAACAGTTTAGCATTATTGTCAGCAACCGAATGAATTTACTAAGCAATATAAGTGAAAGGGTTAATATATATATTAAAATTACGAGTAAATTTAACATCAATTTAAATATGAAAATGATTAATTATCTAATAATAATACAAACTTTTCAAAATAAAAATAATTAAAAAACTAACCCTCGGTGGTTGATTTTTCATTTGTGGCCGTGAATAGTTGTGAGAGGGTGGCTGTGAGAGATGGAGATGGAGGGGGGTCGCTGGATATGGAGACGGATGTCGCCGGAGATGGGGACGGATGTCACCGTAGAGAGTGAGAGATGAAGATGAGACTGAGTTACGATTTAAGGGTTTAGGTTATGAGTTGCGATTTACGGGATATACTATTTACATTTGTGTTGCAAAATTAATATTCGTGTTTCAAATTTGAAAACTGAGTTGCGAAAATAAAATTCGCGTTGCGAAAATAAACGCGCTTTGCGAATTATAAAATCTTGTTGCGAAAAAGACTCTTGTGTTGTGAATTTAAAAATCACTTTACGAAAAAGAAATTCGTGTTGCGAAATTGTCAAATTCGAGTTGCGAATTTGAAATCGCGTTGCGAATTTGTTGGTTATTTTTTCAAATCCAAAAAAGTTGGTTAAAATCGTATATTATTTGATATTTTCGATCACTCAAGTTATTTTCTCCATTGATAAAAATATTCAATGTTTAAAGTTCTAAATTAAAAAAATTTAAAAATATGAAGAACAAAATAAGAAACAGAGTAATTTTCAGCGAGTAAATATGTCATTTATACTAAATTATAATATTCATAAAAAAATCCCAACCACCAAATCAGAAAATATTATCTTGTCGGTGATATGGTCTACTTGAAGCTACAATTCTTGATCTTCATTCGTCATTCTTCAACTTACAGCCAGAAATTACACAACTATGGCAGTGAAAACGAACGGTGCGACCGTTGACGAAAATAACTTCATCCACAAAGAGGAATTGCTCCAGGATGCCCTCCACAGTTTGTTTTCGTCGATCATCTACCCCGAAGCATCGGCATTGGCGTCTACTCCGCTGCTGCAGCGGATCAAGATCTCTGTTTCGGAGAACTTGCCTCGCCTTTGCGAAGCCTCCAGAAACACTAGCCGTTCTGTTCTGCAGTGGACTCGAAGTGGCAGCCCCCTTCGTACACTTCTCGTCATTTCTGTGAGTTTTTCCCCAAATTGCTTTCTTAAACAATTTCCTGCCGTGTTTCTGCTTCAGAGTTGATAATCATTAAAAAATAACGCTAGGCACTGAGTTCTTTGTGTGCTTTAGTTCTTATGCGTGAGGCTTGAAGAGGTGAGTGTATATTGTTTCCAACGATTGATTATACACACACAAAAGCACACATATATATTTATATTTCTCTTGAATAAGAGAAAACGAAATTAAATCATAATAGCACAAGTGTGAGAGTAGTTCTAGAGTCGCATAGTTAAAATGTAAGATCCTATAAATGAAATGTTTAATGTAGGATAATGGTGAAAGCTGAATGTCCAAAGTGGACCTTGGCAGTTGAAATGGATGATGTATAAACCATTGATAGGTTGAATATCTGTTAGTGCTTGAAAGTTCAATGGTACAAAATTTCTATACTGGTTTCTTCCTTGTAGATCAAACTTTTGGATGCTTACACTAAAACATAATTCTACTTACAAGCTGTGAAATTTGTTCTTTATAAATTGGATATAGTAACACATACTTCCCCGCCAAGTATCTTGTCCTAATAAGCTTTTCATTTGCTTGTGTTTCACTGGTGGACTTGGAAAACTTAAAATCATAATGTTTTTGCATCTGTTTTATTGCTGAGTTACATATTCTGGTATGAGTTTCAACTTGCTTTTGCGCCTTTTGTTCTTTATAATTTTTCTATGTATGCCCATCCAACTTCTCTGTGTGTCTCTTATACACTGAGCTGCTAAACTTTCTTGAAGCTTAAATTGATATCTAGTTATGATAAATAAATGAAATTTACTTTCATGGCATATATTGGTGTGCTTCTCTTAGCTTGCCTCTTGTCTGCAAGCTGCCTTAACTTACATTCTTTAGAATCCTTTGACCGTCCTTTTACCAACACTTCTGCAGGTTGGAACCATTACTTTTCTTACCTTGGCTGGATTGCTTCTTTTTACGCTTTTCTTTCTAGCTGCAACTGTCAATGCTATCATCATCTCTGCCCTCATTGCTTTGGCTGCTGCAGGAGTCTTCTTCGCTATTTTCTTTGCCTGTGTAACAGTTACTTATATTGTGGCCTTGTCAGTCGCTGCTTTTGTTATTTCTACTGCAACAATTTCAGCAATTATAGCTGCTGTTGTCGTTACAGGTATTTCTTTCTCGGCATCTATTTTTAGTTTTTACATTTTTCATTCTTGTAATGTTAAGACCATATGCTTGGCTTAGAAACTACATGATGAACTCTTTTCATTTATATCTTTTTATAGGGCTGAGACCCTTTATAATTTTTGTTAGCTTTATCGAACAACCGAAAACCGTCAAGAAGGGGTGAATTGGCCTTTGAAATTTTTTTGGTGGAAGAAATAGAAATTAAAAACTTTGCATAAGAATTTAGAGTGGTTCAACTTCTAAACTAAGTCTACATCCACTACCTTAGTATTTACACAGGATTTCTCAAATCCACTAGATTTGCAAACCTTTGAGGATAAGGCGTAACCTTACAAACACTTCAAGGTTTATACCCACAAACCTTGAATACATACTCTCTCCCAAAGAGTAATTACAAATTTATCAAACAAAAGAAAAACCTCAAAAAGGCAAACATGTTTACACAAATTAAGCACTCACCAAAAATCACATTTGAGCAAATTTAACAATTTAGCTCACAAGTGTGTTACAAAGAATTTGACAATTTTTGCTCTAAAACACTATTGATGTTGGCTATATCTTGCAATTGACTTTATTGTTTTTGTCTATTTGAATTTTGGTCCTTTTTGTCTTATAACATCAATCTAGTCGTTTGGAGCCGTTGGGGATTAAATAGAGCCGTTGGATTCATTAATTTTGAGCATTTAATGCGCACCTGCACATTTGGTATCGGTACCGGGATGTTGGTCTTGAGATTGAGCCTCCCAACGATCAAATTTATAGCCGTTGAACCATCAATATCGATACTATTTAAGTGAATATAGATACTCACCAACTGACCTGGATACCAAGGCCATGTATCGATACCAAAAAGCCCTATGGAATTTTGGTATCGAGACTGGCATATTGGTCTCGAGACTGGGAGGGGTTTTGGCTGGAAATCAAGTGTTTTGAGCTTTAAAACAATATTTATAAAATGTGAATTTACTCAATAACACTTGTGATTATTTTTCACATTTAAAAATGCTTTAAATTTATTTATGACAAATTATTTATAAAATTGTGAAATGCTAATTTTAAAACCTTAAATCATTTAAAAATCATGTTATATCAAAATTAAAAGTTCGTTCAACAATTTTTATTCTGGAACCTATGTCCCTAAATGAATTTCAGTCCTATGAAGTTGTGGATTATTTTAGATGATAACCCAAATGAAGCTTCAACATGTATGCTTACAATATGTTGGGATAAAATCATTGCCATTATTTTCTCCTTGAAGTGTATTCACGCGACGTCCTTCAGTGTCCCTCTCTCTCTCGCTCTCTCTCCCCCTCTCTCATGATAGTGCCTTGGTAAGCGCATCAACAATCTGGTCTTTTGAAGGAACAAAAATTAGTTCTGCTACACCTCCATTGACCTTCTCTGAGATGAAGTGTATATCAATTTTAACATGCTTTGTTCTATCATGGTGGACTGAAATTTTGGCAATTGTAATGGCAGATTGATTATCGCTTAGGATTTTAAATTTCTTCCCTTGGTCAAGTTGTGGCTCCTTTAGTAGTCTTTTGAGCCATATTCCTTCTCAAATCCCAAGTGTCAAGGCTCTATATTATGCTTAAGCACTTCTTCTAGCCACAACAGTCTGCTTCTTGCTCCTCAAAGTCACAAGATTGCCCCACACAAACGAGCATTAACCACTTTTTGACCTTCTACCAGTTAGTTCTCCAGCCCAGCTTGAATCAGTAAACACCTTTACTGTTCTATTCTCTGATTTTCTGAAAGTCGAACCATATCCTGGGGTCCTTTTCAAGTACTGAGAATAGTGTGTGATCCATTTGGCATTGCTGCCATCAGAGTTGTACTCAACTGTAAATACCCACTTCCAACGTACAGGCTTCTTTCCTTTTGGCAGATCAGTAATGTTCTAAGTCTCATTCTTTTCTGGTGCTTCAATCTCTTCCTTTAATGCTTTCCTCCATTTGTTATTCTCAAGAGCTTCTTCTATGGTTGCTGGAATCTGAATTTTGTCCACATTAGCTGTAAAAGTTCTAAAAGAGGGCATTAAATTCCCATAAGCTACAAACTTTTGTATAGGGTGTTTTGTGCACTGTCTTATCCCTTTTCTTTTAGCAATAGGTAAGTCAAGATTACCTAAGTCAGGAATAACAGCCTGAGGCCTCATTACCTTTTGTACCTTCCATATTCGAAGAGCCAACTGGACTAGGTGACTGTTCATGGCAAGAATCAGGCTGTATGATTGTCTCCGGAACAGGTTTCTGCCTTCTTTTATAGACTTGTAGCTCTTCTCTATCGGTTCGTGGAGTTTGGGCTATGTGAGGGTTAATTTTATGTGTTTTGGAACTTGGTGAGGTTATGGCAGCTTCTGTAGTAATATAGAGCTGGTAGAGTTGTCTAGTTCAGCAGTTGACATAAGGATCAAGTTTCTAGAAATTTTTGGGGCTGCTGCAGCAAAGGTAATGAAGGATGGAATTCACGGAATGTCTTCCCTTGAATGCCAGACTTAGGAAAATAGGGCTCTTGTTCAAAAAATGTTACATCAATTGAAATATAAGTTCGATTACTAGTAGGGGAGAAACATTTGTGGCCCTTCTTAAGTGAAGAATAACCCAAAAAGATGCAGTTAATGGCCTTAGGATCTAATTTAGACGGAAAGGGGTTACTATTGTGAACAAAAACAGTGCAGTCAAAAATCTTTAAAGGAAGACTAGATGAAAGCGGCTTGAAGGAAGACAGACCTAGGTGTTTGAAAGGCCAAGAATTTGCTAGGCATCCTATTATTCAAGTAGGTTGCTGTTAAGAGAACCTCACCCCAAAAATGGTTAGGAACAGTATGAGTAAATAACAAATATCTAGTTGCCTCAAGTAAGTGCCTATTCTTTCTCTCAATCCTCCATTTTGTTGAGGAGTATCTACACAAGAACTAAGCTGGACAATGCCTTTTTCTTGAAGATAGGATCCCAAGGTCTTAGCAAAGTACTCTCCCTCATTATCAGAGTGTAAGATCTGAATACAGCTATGAAATTGAGTTTCAACCGTAGTGTAAAACCTTTTAAAGATCTATTCAGTTTTAGATTTTTCTCACATCGAAAAGGTCCATGTTGTTCTATTGTGGTCATTGGTGAATGATATAAACCATCTACAGCCATTAATGTTCTTCACTTTGAAAGGACCCAGATATCACTGTGTAAGAGAGAAAGGTTTGTAAGGAGATGATAGATAAGGGCTCTTTGTATGTTTGGCTAGTTGACACTTGTCACAATGAAAAGGAAGAACTATTGAATTCTACAGTAGTGATGAGATGAGAAGAACCAGGTTGAAACACCTGATTATTAGTGGAGTTATTATCAGAGTTTGTGGGATTGGTCATCTCGACAAAATCTAGAGAAGGATCGATAATTTTAAGCTGATACCATGTGAAATTTGACGAGAAACAGTTTGTTTCTTCAGTCTGTATTGTTATATTATGAAAAGAAAAAAATACATGAATCTTTTAAAGATAAAGAAGTATACTTAGGCTAGAATTCCTATAGCTGTACAACTCTTTATTTAAACTTAGGATAGAGTTTATCCTAATCTAAACTAACCACTCTTATTTAAACTTAGGATAGAGTTTATCTTTATCTAAACTAATTTACAAACTATAAAATTACAATCAGTTACGACTTGCACGGTTGCTGTATTTTTCTTCTTTTGGCATTTCAAATTTAAGCTATTCTGGTCTTTTGTGCCCTAAAAGATGTTTCAATGCCAAAGTTGATATTCTTCATTGTGCACATTAAGTAGCTTTGCTATCGAGTGTATCTGCAATGTTTTCTGCTGCTTTTGCGAAAATTGCTCTCTTTTTTGTGGCACGGTTCACAAGTTTTATACTACTTGGTATAGGTAATTATGGTGTTTCATGTCCTCCTAATTGATATCTCAAACTGTCTGGACTTGAAGCCTGTAAATCATTTTACGGTGTTTGGATGATGTTGTGTAATTCATTTTCCACTGGTTGGCAAAATCTTTTAAAAATTCTTTATTATAAACATCATGTACAATAAATAATATTATTATATTTTAAATAATATTATTTATTAAAAATATAATAATATTATTTTTAAAATATTAGAATAATTAATTCAATATTATTTATGTCAATATTATTATGAAAATATTATATCTATAATTTTATAAATAAAAATATTACGATTATTATATTTTATTAAAATAAAATTATTATGAATTATATTAATTATTTATTAAAAATAAGAATAACAAATTATTAAGTATATTAATTATTTATTAAAATAATAATATTATTAAAATACATTGAAAATTATAATATTTAAATAAAAATATTGTATTATATTTGAAGGAGTAAATATTAAATATTCAACAATTCAATAATATTATTTTTATGAAATTAATAAATAATATTTATTTAATTAATAATTTATTATATGTTATATGTTATTAAAATAAAAATATAATATCAATAATATAATTATAAAAATAAAATATTATATTATATTATATTATTAAAATTATCAATAAATATAATATAATAATTAATATTGTTATTAAAATGATATTATAATAATGTTTTGAAGTGTTTATGCTTTTAAGTGAAAAATTCGTAAAATGACTTACGAAAAATCAGATGGTAAGTCATTTTTTAGAAAATACAAAGGAAATTTAGTTGACCAGAAAAATGAATTACATTGACCATATGTTTTTCGCCAACAAAACAGTGAAAAGTAAGGAAAATATTTTTCAAAAAACAAATCACAGAAAAACAAACATACCCTTAATATTCTGGAGTCGTGCTTTTCATTTGATGTTTCAAATGTGAATCAGGCTGGATTGGCTTCTTTTGGGCTGTATGGTTGGTTAATAAGAAAAGCATGGAGCTGGCAAAGCACTCGTTCGGCATGACTGGATCTGCTCTTTCGGCTTGGTAGCCGAACAAAGTTTCAGAGTGAAACACTTATCCACAATGTTGGCAGATGCGGTTGATTAATTATAGATGAGAAGCATGTGATTGTGTTTTGACAATTTAGTAATGATATAGTCGGCTCCCGACCGGCTTGCAATAAATAGGTTGTTTGATTTTCCGGTTTACTTGTTAGTTTTAGTCAGCCTCTCTTGGGGTAAACACAACTTTGGTGTCGAACGTATCTGTTCGTGGATGAATAGTGTTGTATTGATGTTCCTCTAGAATATAAATGGACGGAAGATTAGGTTTCAGCCATGAACTGGATAGAATTTTATGTGATCACTGCTTCTTTATTATTATTATTATTATTAGATTTTGCCACTTTACATGAATTCATTGATCTCGTGTTTAGTTCGTAAATAGTGTTGTAATTATTTTATTTACAATTTATATAAAAATATGAAAACCTGAGTTAATTTGTTACACCAATTTTAACCGTCATCGTATATTACTCACTTCACATAAATAAAATACATAGCGGATAAAGTTGTTCTTCTAAAGTCGAGCAAAAAGAATGTCAAATCAATAATAGAATGCTAATTCGAATGCGACGGTCAAGTACTAAGGTGACTATTATCTTAATATTTGGAAAAGAAGAATGAATGCCACCTAACAACAAAACATGAGAAAAAATTGAATTAAGTGATTTCAGTAGTTAAAATGATAATTATTTTTTTTTAAAATTTCGAGTTCAAGTACGATGATTGTAGTAGTGTATAAGCATTTATAATTAAATAATTTAATTTTTCGAACAAATAATATTTTATAATAATTATAGATAAATTAAAAAAGGAAATAACAATATATCAAAAATATTTGATGACTTTTTACTATTATTTTCTTAAAATAAATCATATACAACATATAACAATAGTTTTGATTCTATTTTAATCAATCATCATTTAGAATTAGGAAGGTAGAACTTTGAGGGAATGTGTCTAAACTTCGAACAACTACAGGTTAGGAGAGTGGGAGGTCAATTTTGTTGGTTTGGTTAGCCATGGAAGGTTCCGATTGTGGAGTGCTTCCCACTCATGACTCTGGCAAAACTCTCGAGATAATGTTCTCGAAGAAATTATTTCACGAGATAATGCTCTCCCAAGATTAATTGCTCAAATAGGGTGAAATCCACAGTGTTGGCCGTAGGTCACCATGCCTTCCGGGCGACCTACTACGTGGCCAGCTTCCCGACGAACGCACAAAGAGAATGAACGTGTTGCATGGCACATGCACGTCCCCAACGCATAGGTCGTCATGCCCTCTGGGCGACCTTGTAGGCCGTCATGCACTCCGGGAGACCTTGTAGGTCGCCATGCACTCCGGGCGACCTGCTAGGTCGCCATGCACTCCCTCATGCTCCTCACGTGATTCCTCTTGCAGCTTCTCACGAGACCTCATGCATGCAACTGTAATAGTTGCATTATTGCAGCATGATTTGAGCTGCAAAGTGCCATAGCTTCGTGCCATAGTTGCTCCCCCCTGCTCCCTCGTGCCATAGCTTTGAGACTGTCCCCTCCCGTTATCATAGTTGCATTATTGCAGCATTCAACGGTTGAAAAATTTGCAGCCTTCAACGAGAATTATATAGCTCAAATTGATTGCAGCTTACCAACCGTGCAAAGATCATTATATATTGGATATGAGGGGTTTAGGGTAGAATCATAAGAAAGAAATAAAATTTGGCGAGAGAAAGGAAAGGAAATGAAAGGAAAAGAAAGGGATATAAATGCTCAAACATCATTCGTGAGGTAATTTTTAATTGTTTAATTTAGTTTATTATATGAAATTATTAGTTTGTTAGTTTAGGGTTTAGGGTAAAACATAAATTTAGTTAATTAGTTTGTTAGTATAAATTATTAGTTTGTTAGTTTAAGTTATATTATATTAGTTTATTAGTTTAAGTTATATATTAGATTATATAAAAATTAGTTAATTAGTTTCTTAGTTTAAGTTATTAAATGTAAAAAAATATTTAATTAATTTGTTAGTGTGTTTAAACGTATATTAGGTTGTTTGTTGAAGTTTAAGTTATATTATAAAAAAAGTTAATTAGTGCTTAATTAGTTTGTGCGTATGAGACGAGAAACATATGTGATGTTCCTGGGTCATCAAGAGATGTGGCTCGAAATTCATCTGAAATGGCTTTCAATCATTAGTTTGAGTACCCGACATACAGGTTCTAGAACAGTTTTATGGAACTATTAGAAAGTGGAAATGAAGTCGGAGGGACATCTACAACAGTAGAGTATGAGACGAGAAACATACCGGAATTGGTTGTTGATATTGATGCTGAAAATCGATGGGGAGAAATTCATGATGATTTAAGCGAAGATGAAGAAACCGAAGAACCCATTTTAGGCGACGATGAAATTTTTTTCGGTGGAGGTGCAATTGATGAAGTTCTGACATCGTATGAAGCTACTCCTCACATGTACGAGATAAACTATGATGCGATGAGGGCACCTGAATTCCCATACATGCCACATTTACCTCCGTACCAAATGGCTGAATCATTCGATAATTCTAGTGAATTTTCAGTTAGGGTGCAATTCAGAGGAAAAATAAAGCTACGCTGGCGATTAAAGAGTACTGCATCAAATGCCATGTTGATGTCCATGTTGTAGAGTCAAACCAGAAAACCCTATACGCAAAGTATGTAAAATATGACCCAGAGTGCAAGTGGAAGATCAGAGTGTCGAAAAATCAAAGGCACGATGTTTGAGTCATCACGAGGTACAATGGTCCGCACACATGTTTACGAAACTCCATCGAACAAGACCACCGACTATTGGATTCCGATGTAATATGCGAATACGTGAAGACGATGGTTGAAAAGGATCCAAGGATATCTTGTTCAGTGTTAGCTGCATCTATTCGAAGTCAATTTGGATATCAAGTAAAATATGGCAAGGTGTGGAATGCGAAGATGAAGGCAATGAAGCTAACGTATGGAGATTGGGATACATCGTATAATGAGCTACCACATTTGCTACAAGCAGTGAAGCGATTTATCCCAGGAACCATAGTGAAGTCTCAAACCATGCCCGCATATGACGAAGAAGGTCAACTTCTGCCAGGGAAGAAAATATTTCATAGACTATTTTGGGCATTCAAGGCATGTATTGAAGGATTTCCATTTTGTAAACGTATGATCCAAGTAGATGGTACGTGGCTGTATGGTCAATATAGGCATGTACTTTTGATGGCAGTTGCTCAAGATGGTAAGCGAAATATCTTCCCAATTGCATTCGCCATTGTTGAGGGAGAGACAACATAGGCTTGAGATTTCTTTCTGACCAATCTACGTCAATATGTCATTCGTGAAGATGGAGTTTGCTTGATATCTGATAGAGGAACGAGTATTTTGGAGGCAATTGAACGACCAGGAAGTCGTTGGATACCTCCGTATACATATCTGACCTTTTGTATCTGTCATATTGGCAAGAATAGTATCTACCAGTTTCATAACACACACATTCGTAGCGAGATAGTCAGCATGGGTAAGTTTTATTTTCAATATTTGTGAATTTTTTACGTGGTTTTTTAATTGTGGTTTAACATAATATATTATGAAACAGAATACGAACTACATCGACCAAATTTTGACAAGAGATTGGAGAATTTGAAGGTATTTTATGATGATCAACGTGTTTGGAAGTGGGCTTCAAAAATACCGTGGGAAAAATGGTCGTAAGCATACGATGAAGGTCGGAGATACGGACATATGACCACAAACCTTGCTGAGGCCATTAATTCGGTACTAAAAGGTACACGTCATCTCCCAATAGCAAGTGTGGTGAAAGATACGTACGTACTTTAGATTGGGTAAAGTTTGGTCGGATAAAGGAAAGGAAATTGAGAGGCTCATAAATAAAGGTAAAATTTGAGCTCCTAAAGTGGTGGAATCAATAGAAGCAAATGAGCGATTGGCAACATCAATGGTTATTCATAATTTCGACCGAGTTGGTTATAATTTTGTCGTGTCATGCATACGCCGTAACGTCGGAGGAGAAGACCAAACATTTAGAATTGATTTACGACACAAATGGTGTGATTGTGGTCGTTTTCAGGCATGGAAATATCCATGTGCTCATGCAGTCGCTGCATGCATGTATGCTGGTGTAAGCGCATACACGTATGTTGATGAATGCTTTCACCTACGTAGGATATTAAATGTCTACAACTATGAGTTCAGACAGATCCCGAATGAATCATATTGGCCCAAAAAGGATCATGACGAATGACTGCCAAATCCAATGCTTCGCAGAAGTCCAAAGGGTCGACCTGAGTCCACTCGTATTCATACCATTATGGATTTTCATGCTAGAGAGAGAGAGGTCAAGCAAAGAGATGCGGATTATGCAGGGGTGAAGGCCATTCAAAAAACAATTGTCCTAATTTACCAAGATATAAGCTTCATCATTAGTAATCATATATGTATTTCTATGTATTTATCCAGATTTAATTTTGTAATGATTTATAATTCGAGGACTTGAACAAATTTGAATAGACGTGTGGTTCAATTAACCATATTTTCGTTACATAATTAATACCCATCCATGGAACACTTGTTTCATTTGTAATAATGATATGATTTAATTTAGTAATGATTTGATAATCATGATTTAATAATGATTTTATATTTAAAATTATAATAATTATTTAGTAATGATTAGTAATAATGAAATTATTATTAATATTTAATGATTTGATAGTAATGATTAGTAATAATGAAATTATTATTAAAATTTAATGATTTGATAATAATGATTTAGTAATTATTAGTAATAATAAAATTATAATAATGATTTGATACTAATAGGGTGATAAATTATTATATCTTCACATTGAAGTTGAATTTATGTAATTTGTTTTTGATAAATTATTTGAGCGGAGTTTTTAAATAGAGAGACATAATTGATATGACATTTATAATTCAAGGACTTGAACAAGTTTGAATGGACGTATGGTTCAATTAACCATAAAAATGATTTAATAATGATTTTAATATTTAATGATTTGATGATTTAATAATGATTTTAATATTTAATAATTTGATGATTTAGTAATGATTTAATAATGATTTTAATATTTAATGATTTGATGATTTAGTAATGATTTGATAATAATGATTCAATAGTGATTTTTATAATTAATGATTTGATGATTTAGTAATGATTTGATAATAATTATTTAATAATGATTTTAATATTTAATGATTTGATGATTTAGTAATGATTTGATAATAATCATTA